ATTTACTGTAAACAGCAATGAGATAAGAAAATGAACAGTAACATCAGCAATGTTAATAACAAAAGTGTACAAAAGAGAGAGTGTTTCTCATCCAAAGACGCTCTCTGTGGATCCTGCTACAATAAATTAGTGCCAGATGGCTTCTCCCCACCAAGTGTGGGACTGGAAGGAGCGCCCTTCTCCAAGAGAGTCCTTTTTCCCCCACCCCTGGCAGTGATGTGAGGTCCTATCTCATCTGGGTCCTGGCTGCACCCTTCCCAGCTACTGCACAAAATATAACCCTGCCCTGGCTGAAATCAGGACACAGAAGAAGAAATCCCTCTTCAGCTTGTAGACTCTCTTCAGATACTGAAAGGTTATGAGGTCTCCACACCACCTTCTCTTCTCCAGGCTGAACAGCCCAAATTTCCTCAGCCTGTCTTTTCATAGGGATGGTGCTCCAGTCCTCTAATCAACTTTGACCCTCCTCTGGACTTGCTCCAACAGTTCCATGTCCAGAACTGGGCGCAGCACTTCAGCACTTCAGGTGGGGTCTCACAGGAGCAGGGTAGAGGGGCCAAAACACCTCCTATGACCTGCTGGCCACACTCCTTTCGATACAGCCCAGGATTTATTTGGCCTTTGGGGCTCTGAGCACACATGGCTGGCTCATGTTGAGTTTGCATCAGCCATCACCCCCAAATCCTTCTCCACAAGGCTGCACTCAGTCACTTCCCTACCCAGCCTGTAGGTGTGTCTGGGATTGCCACAACCCACGTATAGGGCTTTGTACTTTGCTTTGTAGAACTTCATGAGGTTTGCAAAGACCCAGCTCTCAATCTTCTCGGGGTCCCTCCGGATGGCATCCCTTCCGTCCAGCATGTCAGCTGCACATGCAGGTTGAATTACTCTCTCTTAAGCATGTGTGCTGCTACTTGCTTTCTAAGCTGGTAACTATGTGTTCTGTCTCAAGAAATATTTACACCCGTGTCTATAGTATTACTGGAGTCGTTGAAGGAGAAGGTAACTGGTTTATAAGCAAATTAATACCTGTTGGGGAAAAAAAGAGAAGGGGAAACCATGCATAGATGTTTACTGTAGGTAACCAGTCTGTTTAAAGACAGGAAGAATCAGGCTGAGCCACTGAGTTAGTCAAGCAGAACCAAAAGTCCTGTTAAGTGACACATATTGTCTCAGGAGCAAGCTGACTTCTTCCTTCTCCATTTTTCTCCTTGGGTCCTCTTAGCCTCTTTCTGAAGAGAATTGAACTTTTTTTATGCAAATGTTAATGCAAAGCTGTGATCCCATATAAATTCCCAGAGGCCAAATGGTTAGGACTGAAAACAGGTGTTCTAAGCCATACTGCTTCAATCTGAAGTATCTTGTCTCCACTCTTCCTCCTCCTCCTTTTGTTATCCCTCAAAAACTCATGTAGTGGATTTGATTTCTGAGATGCAGTATTTGCTGGTGTTAAGCCATGACTACAATTTCACCCAACAGATTTTTCCTTTTATGCAGAAGAGGGAAATTCATGCCAGTGTCTGTCTTGTATACAGAGCCATGGTTCTTCTAGATTCTCTCATCTAAGCTAATACTGTTAGATATAAGGGCCAGAATATGATCAGTCTGATATACATAGGCTTGTTCTTTAAAAACACTAAAGAGGGGGAAAAGCAATTGTAAGTTAACTGTGTTTTAAATAGGAAGGTCATGGCAAAAGTAATACATGTAATTCTGCTAGCAAAGGTCTCTGCCAGTTGTTCATTTAATGGGAAAATGTGTGGACGGGTGCAGAATAGCAGGGAAGAAAATGATGAGTGAGGTGTGGTGTCACATTTCTCCTGAACTTGACTTGTTAGAACAGTTTTGACAGCAGGCATTGGCATAGTTTTGGGTAGTTAAATACGTGGCTGTGAATCTTTTATCCATGGACTGCCTAATGGAAAACAAGATACAGGGTTAGTGCTGAGTGTAGTGTCCTAAAGGCGAGCATGAAAAGGCACAGAGACATGTTCATTCTTGCCATCTGTGATCCAATGAGTTTTAATTAGGTGAAGTTCTGTAGAAACAGCTTCTATGGGAGAGTTCCTCTGTAGGCTGTAGAGCAAACTCATTTACTGTCATGGCTTGAATCATCTGAATAGATTCCCTGCACCACTCTATTCTCAAACTCAAGTCCTTATGAAATATCTATTCATCTACCTGCCACAGAATCTGCAGACCAGTCTTAGGGACAACTCTGCACAGCCTAGAGGAAAGCACCACCAAAAAATATAGAATTGGGATGGGGCTATGTCCTTAGTATTTCCTTTAGATTCCATGTGCTTCAGGTTCTTTTAGAAAGTGTGTTCTGAAATACCTGATTACTCCCACAAGTTGCAGAGGAAGGGTTTAGTGCTTGATTTACTGCTGTGGATTCTATAGCAGGGATCAGGAACTTGATATGCTTTTGTGTATTTTGCCTTTATTTATATTGCTTTGGTTGCTTCTTATGTGGCAGCAAGAGAGAATGTTAAGTATAAAATGAAAGAGTTGTGAAGCAAGCAAGCCCTTTGGAAAAGGAAAATATGTACTTTACTACAATTTTCACTTCTATGATCATAAAGCAAAAAAAAAAACTTCAGACAAGTCAAGCTTCTACAGTTGACATGAATTAATGTTCTCTTCTTCTGGTGGGCTATATCTCTCAAAAAGGGGAGAATTAGAACATGGCAACAAAATTGAACACCATTACTGGCCCTGTGCAGATGAGCTCATTTTTTGTACTGTGTTCAGTATTTGTTCCTGTGAGCAGAACAATATTTAGAAGTGTCTGAAATATTAGGGTGTTTTTCTTGAAAGCAAACAGTGCCCTAATAATGCTGTGTTAATAATGCAATCTGGAGGAGTGTCATGGAACATGGATAATAATGCTGTGTTAATAATGCAATCTGGAGGAGTGTCATGGCTCACACCATGCCTGTTCCAGCACCAGCATCTTAGTACAGAGGCAGTGAGGATAGTGCAGAGCTGTTTGGAGCTTCCTAGGAGATCTGTCCATGCATAACATGTGGTTGAGAGGTTTAGAAATGGACAAAGATGAGATCAACAGCCTCCTCAACTCCTCCGTATTTCAGCGTTCCCTGGCTTTCTCCTGACATTGACATGTCCTTAGTGAGTTCCCAGTGTGTGTTACCACACCTCCTTTGCCAAGGATCTCCTGCATGTTTTCCCAGCCTCCACTTCTTCCTCCTGATGCTTCATCCCCTTGTTTCACCAGCTCCTGCACTGCCTCCTTGCATCTGCTGCTGATCCCCTTGTTTCTTCAGTGCTGCTACTTCTTACATCAGTAGGATAGGAAAAGAAGGTCAAGGAGTAGGCTGAGAGGGACACAAAAGTGTTCGGGACAGGCAAAAGGAGGTAGTGGCAGCGAGATCTGATTCACAAAGATTTAGTATCTAGTTCTCCTTTGTTACATGCTTGAAAGTTTATAGGAATGAAGTAAAAAAGCTGTCATGCACAGTACTGTGGAGTGTTGGGAATCTGTCTCCACAGACCTAGGAATTCTCATGAATTGCTATGTGAGACGAAGAGCTATTCAAATGTCTCCAATTGTGTGCTCTTCTTTCCGTGGTACTCATACTGAAAAGCTGTGCTTTAATATATGAAAGGCTATGTGATGAATTCTTCTTAACACAGATCATAAGAGTTTTCAGTTAAGCAGCTTAATTTAGTGGATACTTCTAGCTTCTAACTGTAAAACAAGGGTAATTTTCTGTGTTTAGGTGTCTGAAAGTATTAAAAATCTTAGTGTATTTTTTATAAGAGGTCAGTCTTCTGTAGCAGCACTTCAGGGAATTCTACAGTTCTTTGGAATGGTTCATATTTGATTATAGTATTAGTATAGTGAGAAGATTCTGTAATATTTGCTCAAAAACGTGGGTAAAATGGTTCAACATCATTCACACAGGATTTTCTGAAAAATATTTTGTTTTCATTGCGAACAGAATGAATTAATGATTGTATGTATGGCAAGGAACCACAAGGTTATAAATGCTGAAGGAAGTATTAATTACTTGGAGTCATTCCCTTTACAACACTCCCTTGTATTTTTCATATCAGTGGTATTGTGTTTCCTTCTTTTGTGTTTACTTTTACCATTGACTTAGTCTCAAGTTTATTACTGTATTAACAAGGATTTTGTGTGTGAAGTAGATGATTTTTCTTCCTAGCCCTGCCAATGCTACATTATTGTATTCTAATAGGCTGACTTTTGTCCAAGCTAATCCAGCAATCTGTGTTTTTACAGCAGACTAATTCTAATGACTAATGTTTGAACATGGCTGTGTGCAGTGTAAATGTATGAATTCAGTAAGTCAATGGGAGCTTGATCCTGTTTATTCTAAGTCAGCAGAAAAATAATATTAAACTAATAAAATAACCTATCCCTGAAGATTCAGGAAGGGCATTCACATTTCCTTATGGGAATTCTTTCATTAAGTTTGAGACCTGTTAGAATTAGGTTTATTTGTAGAGGGAGCAAGTTGTACAGAGATCCTCTAATTACTTTGAAAGTGAGAGAATCTACTTTTCCAGATTTGGGGAATCTTTTTAGCCCTGAACTACAGAGTAACCTGGAGTGATTTGCACTGCTTTTGAATGAAACTTGCAGGATTAAAAAAGACAGGTTTTTCTTGTGAATAAGAAGGTGTTATAGCATTCTGCTTTTTTACTTGTAGAAGCACAAATAATTATTTTAAAACTGTGTGTTTTAAGCTGGCTTCAAGCAGAGTCATAACCTCTTGTTTCTACACATACCTGAAAACTGTCTTTTATTTGCAAGCAGCCTTTTTTTTATAGCAGGGCACTGTTTCCTTGTTTGTAACCACATAGGAGTTAACATTTTATGGCTGATAGACATTCTTTTTCAAACGAGGTATATTCTCTCCTTATTCAGGAAGCTGGTGGGTTTTCTATGCACATGTGTTGGCCCCGTTGTCTGTTGTCTTTTTACCTTCCTGCTTTTATTGTCTCTTTTACAGATGTCACCAGCCACCAGTAAGTCAGGGGACATGAAATTTATCTCCAAACATGACACAGATAGAGACTCACCTGCAACAGAGTAAGCAATAAATGCTTAAAACAATTTGCAGTATTATTCCTACAACTGTTTGAAAACTGTGAGAAATGTTGGAAGGGTTGATATTTTTTTTTCAAGCAAAACAAGAAATTAGCTTTAGGGTGATCAGTGGGAGAGTGCTTCACACCCAAAATGTGAAGGAAATAACAGTTCATATACATATGCTCATCCCCAGGGGAGCAAGGACTATAATGTACATGACAGTCAAAACTCAGGGATATGTGGTTGCTCACTGGCATCCCTTAGCTTTGTATTAGGACTTATTGCTGCAGACTGAAAGCTATTTTTGCACCTTCTAAAAGTTAATTAATGTAAATTCCAAAAGGTTTTTACATTCTAAAAAGATCCCAGCAGCACCTTTGATGATGACACTTGCTTTCTTAAAAATTGTATCTCTCTGTTGTGTGAAAGCTGTAAGCAGATAAGATCTCAGCATTTTGAACAGGAGCTTCCACAATATCTGTAGCTTTTGCAAACATTTTTGATTCAAAAATTTATATCTGAAAATACTTCCCCTGTTTGCCATGGTATCTATCACCTAAGCAAAGTTATTTCACTGATCATTTTCCAGACTGATTCCCTCCTCATCTAAATAATCTACATTATGCTGTAAATGCAGATACATACCTCATTTGAACCTGCCTTTTCAGGTATGGATCTGCATTTACAGCATAATGTAGATTATTTAGATTGTGTAGATTATAAGTAGATACAAAATCTGAATTTTGTATCTCCAGCTGTATCTAGATTTGAAAATATATTGTGAGTGGAAAGTTTAACCCTCAAGCATGATGAGGAGTGGTCTGTACAACCACACATTGACAGAATTCAGTGTTGAATTTTGGACACAGCTATTCTAGTAGTATATACATTAAGGAAGGAAATGCCTTGAAAGCACAGTTACTGTGGTGGTTGACTGTCTGTTAGAAGTCAGTATCAAAAATTTGGGATAACTCAACTCTGTTGGTAGGACTTCAGGAAACAATTATTTTGAACACAGTTACTGTGGTGGTTGACAGTCTGTTAGAAGTCAGTATCAAAAATTTGGGATAACAACTCCGTTGGTAGGACTTCAGGAAACAATTGAGTGACCTTTCCAGGGCATCCACAGAAAAATGTGGGGCCACGGATAGAAAATGTGGAATCGCAAATGATTTAGAAAATTCCAGAATTTTGAGTCATCCCAGACACAAATTTTCATTTTAATGGAAACTAGGGCTATCCTGAGAAGATGTCACACTGAAGGAATAGAGCCCAAAAATTATTTCTGTTACATTTCAAAAAAGTGAGAGAAGACACCTGCATGCTTGAATCACTGGATTGTGCTCCTTCATCCTGAACTGTAGGGAGCAGGAGCATCATGGAGATTCCATGTCTGAAATCATAAATGCTCCATGACAAAGCACTTCACAACAGTGACCACGTGGACCAGGTTTTCTTCAGAAAAGACTACAAGGTGTTGCCTTATTTTGAAGCTAGAAAAAAATCCTCTGACGCTGATGATGCCACTAGTGTGAAAAACTGTCAATATTTATAGGTGTTTATACAGCACACATCAGATAATAAAACAGATCAGAAACAGGACTGCCTATTTTTCATTAAAACTCTCACTTTATTGTTACCAAAAACATGACCTGTCAGGACTCTAGTTTTCTTGCTCACTTCAGTCAATGTGTCTTGAAATATCCTTAAAAATTTACATACATGCAAGTGTTGCCATCCTAACTGGAAAATATTTATATTTCAGCATCTGACAGCAAAATCAACATGACTTGAGATCCAGTCCAATCTGTACTTAAATAGTTGTTCCACCTAAAACATGCTGTTATTTTCCTGTTTTCTGTGAAAATGCACTTAATATTCATGTCACATTGACATATATGATATGAAATTTATTTACTGCATAAATCCTAAGAATCAAGTGGTTGTCAAGTACACACTTTCAGTATAGAGAGGTGAAACTTTAATACCTGCACAACTTGCTAAGTCAAATGAATGATTACTGGTTAGCTTATTAGAACAGTATTGTTCACTACAGCCACAATACCTGCTGTGAAAGAACATGAAACTCAAGTCCTTATGAAATATCTATTTTTTTGAGAATTTCTGGGTGAAAAATATGCTTTTGCAATAGGAAAACAAATTCTATACAAGATGGCAATGGAATTTTATCTTAGCCAAGCAGTTGATGTGTCTTCTGCAGACTCTAGAAGAAATAGAGAAATTATGCTAAGTGATTTTAATTGAAATTTTGGTACATCATCACATCTGATATTCAAATAATAAAAAGATGAGACTGCTTCTCAAAATTCAAGTAGCTTTATATTGGAAATAGCATAGTAACCTTACCCTTTGCATAGTAATGATTAGCTGCTACTTGTCAGCACAGCCAGTATGTCCTTAGGTGTGTTCCCATTGTATGATTTCCTTGAGCTGCACTAGGTAGTGCTCTGCATAAATTTACACAAGACCCAGCTGAACATAGGGTTTGGTGCATTGGTACTTACAACACTGAATAATTATGATCTTGTACCCTAGTTTCCATATGCAGCAGTACTCCTCAAATTGTTCTAGGAATCCTAACACAGAGGTTCTTAGACTCTCAGACCTTTTCCTTAGGATGTTTCAGTACTAGAGCTGCAGCAATCCATATATTCATAGGTATACAATTTAGCTTTAAAAAAAGTTCCAACTACAGGCAGATATTCACCAGTTCATTAGCAAGGCTGATGTGTAAATATTTTCATCTATAAAGCCTGATTACATTAGGACAGTATCATCAACAGTGCAGCACTTGTAATGCCATTTTTGTGGAAAAGACACATTACATTCTTCAGTCTTGATTCATCTCTTTGCTTATGTGTTTCAGCAGCATTAAACAGTTCAGGTCATAAACCAAGACCTTTTTGTGCTAGGCACAATACAAATTTTGAACAAAGACAAGTACCTTCCTTTGAAAGATTAGAGTCAAAGTATTGTTAAGTATTTATAGTTAAATAAAGTTACAACTTCTTCCAAGAGTGGGAATTCATGGTAGAAGTGGTGTAACACCTGCATAATCCCTGCCATCATGTGCAAGACCAGTTAGAGGCGTCAACTGGAATACAGGAGCTTGACCGATCCTTTTGGCACTGTATGAAGGCTGATAAGCAGAAATAGACATTAAAGTGATTTCTGACTCTGTCCTTGTTCAAGTATATTAAAATAGAAAAACTAATCTTAGGCACTTTGGCTGTGTGTCTTATTCTTGTTGCATAAATAAACCAGGAGTCTCTCCTTAATTGTAAGTATTTTGGTGTCTGAGCTTAGGAAAGTGAAAAAAGACAAGTGCAATTGCTTTTATGAGAGGAGGAGACTGTTAATTTGTATTTTTTAATTACGTCTGTTGTCTGTTGATCAAGATGAGCTGATTTTTAAGATCATGAGCAGTTATTTTCAAAGCAATGCTATGATAAAAAGTAGACAAGTGGAGTGGTCTCATATTTTGTCTTCATGGTTTTTCTGTCTTTGTTCTGCTGTGGAACAGTAGTTTTTGTAGTTGTTTCAGCATTGTGCTCAAGAGGACAGGCAGACAATTGCTCTAACACATCAGCTGTAGGTGGAAAAAGCTCTAAATTTGGGCTAACTTTGTGTTTCTTTTACTCTTTTTATATCCACCTTCCTCTAGAGGTACAAAGAAAAAGAAGAAAAGGGTACAAAGGAACGAGGGAGAAAATCAGCACAACTTAATGAGCGTCGATACTCCTCTGTCATCAGTTACAACTAATGGTGTTGAAAACGAACCTACATCCCGTGGGGTGGAATTGAAGAAGAAGAAGAAAAAGGCAGTGAGAGGCTCAAACTTAAGCGCAAGTGGAAGGACAAATATTGCCTTTGAGCTCGAGCGCCATGACGCAGAGGCGTAATTCGTTTCTGAATACTGGGGCGACGTTCATTACACGCGTTGAAGGCTGCAATTATGATCTCCTAGGATTAACAACAAACAAACAAATTAAAATACTTAAATACTTAAATATGCAAAATGGTACCAGTTGTGACTTATCAATAGTGCAAACCTGTTTTGGATGACTTTTGCCCTGGCTTCCTGAAATCAACAGAACTTGAAGGTTCAGCTCCTCACTGCACTGGAAAAGAACTGAAACTGTCAAATACAATGTTTCCTAATTTGATATCTGATTAAACTGTACTTAGGCATTTGTGTAGGCTGTAGATCAATCCATTGTGAGCAAAGAATCAAGTGAAAAAGTGTGCTCTAGAGCAAAACATGCCCAACCATTATGTAAGTTATTAAAGTAGCATTTTAAAGTGTGCTGTAAGTTAAATAGAAGAGTGTTCAGAATGGTAAAATACCAAAGGAGTGCTGACATTAAGATGTACCTGAAAACAGAAGCTTTCAAAAAATATTTTCCTGACGTCAAATATGTGTTTGGACTGCATTTTGCAGCTCTGAAGGGAGTTGTGGGGTAACTACCTATGCAACTACACTGTCTTCAGTAGGACTACTTGTTCTTATCAAAATAAATTAGGGTTGCAAATTCCAGTTGTATTTTTCAAATGAGGTGTGCTGCACATAGTAAAGATTCATTGCAGTTTTGTCAGAGTTCCTGGCTGTTTTGGCAGCTGTCTTGCCAAATATACTTTCTTTTGTCTGAATGAAATATGTCATATCCAACTATGCTGTTTGTTTTACTTGTAGTCCTTATTCACTTGTAAGCATCATTACTCTTATTTTTTTACTGGAGTATTATTTTGTGAAATTTACTAATGACTTCACTAATTATCTACAGTGTTAAATAATTTATATTTTATATTAAACAAAACACTTTCTATCAGTTAGTGTTGGTATTTTTTCTGGCTGATTATGTCCAGTTTATTTTTACTCTGCTAGGAAATTCTTTCTCCTCCCCCTCTGAAGCAATAAATAACATAAAATTAGAAAGCCCTTATTTAGTAGACAGGGCACTTGATTCCATTAAAAAAAGAAGTGAAAATAACAATGCTGGGCACTGATGTGTGAAATGCACCCAGATGCAGAGGACTAGTTGCTGTATATTGTAATACCTTCCTTGCACATGTTTGGAAGCCAGAAAAATCTGTAAACTTTTTTCTTTTGAGTAAAGCACAGCAGCAGATCCTCTTTTCACCCCACTGGTAGTTGTTATTTGCCAGAAGTCCTAACTTTGCTCTGCCTGGAGTGTTTGCATGGAGCCTTGCCCTAAATGGGGCTTGTGTATGTGTACTGGAAACTCAGTAATGTCTATTTCCCCAGTCAGAGGTGGTGTAAAATTACTTCAGTCCTGGGGCTGCCTGATTCTGTCCAGGCTCCCCACCTCTTATGTCCCTGCAGTGTGTTCCAGCTCATCATCCTGTGTGACATGTGGCATTTAGAGATTTTATAATGGGGAAATATCTCGACATCTTACATTTCTTAAAATGTCCTGGGTCACATTTAAAACAAGGGCAGAGCGTGACATCAGGCTCCACATCAGGGAGAGCTGAGCAATAGCCAAGATCTGGGAGCTCATTGGAAAGCATTGTAAAATGTTAATTTGCCATTGTCGACGCTGAAGACAGAAATAACACTTCAGATAAACACCACGGAGAGATGGTAGTTCTAATCAAAGGCACAGCACCTCCTTTCATGCTTGCGAACTAGGGCTCCAATTATGTTCACTGCTCTGAAGCTGAATAGAGCTGCTTTGCCACACTTTCCAAATTGAGAGGAGAGGCAGCAGTAGTGTCTTCCAAGGCACAGTTCCAAATAACAATTAAGCAGAAGGAATCAGATAAGAGCCAAACATGAAAATGCAGGAGTTGAAAATAAACTTTTCATAATGTTTTCTTGTAATTGCTGTAGCTTTTGTTTTGCTTCTGTAATTTTTTTTCTTCCCTACCACATGGTTGCTTAGAGGCTTCTTTTCCTTTATACACAGTGTCACTGTGGTGCTAGTTTTCTGCATTCATTTCACAGAAAAGGAACAAAAATATTTGAAATTTAAAAAGGTTTATGATCCTCCAGTATTAAAATTAGAGCCTTCACCCTAAAATCTCTTTAAAAAATTATAAGCGTGGCACAATGGCAAAGACAGTTTTTACCTTTTGTTCAAAAATACGGTTAATGCATTCATTTTTAGAAGAACTGCTTTTTGGTATTATTAGAGTTTTTATTCTTCAGACAGTGCTGTTGGGATTTTAAATTTTAAAAAAAGGATAAAACTTTTAAATGCTTTAATGGTTTAAAAGGAAGTTTTTAATTTAAAAACTTTATATAATACTTCGTGTTTCTGTGTTAATGCAATCTACACATTTTATAAAATCACTTTATAGTGAATATCATGTACATTTGGTGAATATTGCTTAAGTACTTAGGGGACATAAATTTCAGTGGAAGAAAATAATTTCAGTAGGATTCAGATTGCCTATTGAAAATGTTCCTTTTTTATTAGATGAAGCATTACAGTGTCCTGCAAAATTGCTCCCTGAGCTATGATGTGTGAATTAAAATGCAAGAGTTCTAAGTCTCTATGAGACTTCCTTAGAGGGTGACACGAGTTCATTGCTGGAAGAAACGAGATAAAATGTTGCTTTAAAAAGTGTGAATATTAGATATTTATAGCAGCCTGCCAATAGCATCATTGTGGGTCTTTCATTGTTCTGGTGTTTGTAGGTTTTGTGTGTGTGGTTACACCGTAGAGCTGCTATTATGTTTTTATGGTAGGGCAGAGATATCAAGAGCTGTGTGTAAATCAGCAACGCAGAAGAAAATGCGTGGCCGTGTTTTTCCTGTGTTTCCCAATAGCCATCAAATTGCATTTCATTTTTTTCCTTAAAATAATTTGAGGAACAGACATCATAAAACATAATAAGTGTATTTGTAGCATCACTTAATTCAGAAGGCAGTAGGGGATGGATCACAGTCAAACAAGGGCTAATGAGAACACAGAGGAACATGACAACCGAAAGTCTCTGTTGACTAGTGAACTAAATCTGCCGGCTGGACGCAATTGTCTGACGGAGAATTGAATGTCAGGATCATTTAGGGTTAACAATGGCCCATTACAAGCAAAAGCAGACAGCTATGAAAAATAGCCGGCATGGTAGTCATTCTGCAGGGACCGTGGATGCAAACTTGATAATGAGGCACTTCATTCACTACATCCTTCTGCTCTAATTACTCAGGTGAATAGGAAATACTTCGTTGAAGGCGGGAACAGACAAGAGCAAAAACACTTGTTTGGTAAACACAAAGAGTGACAGGGGTTTTTAATGATCCTTTTCCAGCACGTATGAAATTAGTATGTATGCAGTGCAACCTATTTTATGGATGTGGAAATTGGGAGGGGATAGAAAAATTTTCTGACTAGTGGAGGGAAGCCGGGAAGGTTCATGAAAAGATTGGTACTCCAGGTTTTTTCCCTTAGCGTTCTGTCCAGAGTCCATACAGAATATTTGCAAACAAATTCACTTACTTTAAGTACACCTGCATTTGTAAAAATGTACTGTGTTAGTTCAGTCAAGGGGGTTTATTGCTTGGAGTTTAGCATACCTGCTTTAGGAACAAAACTGCTGCATGTAGGGAAGAGAAACAAGAGGAGGTCTGAGAGAGGGAAATAAGCAATTTGAGAAGAAAGCTGCTGCTTGGGGGAGACTTGCAAAAATGTGGCAATTAGAAATTGGAACTTAAGAAGAAGGAACAGAAGATAGCATGTAGGTGTGTTATAGCAGAGCTTTGGTTGCTTCAGTCATGTTTTTTAGACTTTAGAAATTCAGATATTTAACCACTTCACTTTTTAAAACATTTGTTCTGTGCCATTTACAGAAACTTTTGGGATGAACTCTCAGGACCCATGAACAACATTCTGTGTCTCTCCAGTAACTCAGCTCTGTGGTCTTCTAACTCTGAGCTACACCCTGCAGAGTTCCACGTAGTCTGACATGCAGAGCTGTTAGGAGAGATGAGGCTTTCATTCCCTGATTTCTGGTACGGGTTTTCAGGAGGCTCCTTTTTAGTTGTCCGTTATGATAGGCACCTCTGCCTTGATTTAGTCCTCTCCAGCCTCTTCATCTGGTGCAAAACAGCTGCAGCAGAGATTGGAACTTCAAGAATCAAGCTGCTCTTTCAAACATTTAATGTCATAGGATCCCTTTCTTGCATGTAGATGTGTTCTGCTCGTAGTGGTTTTGACAAGAGTTTTGTCTTTTGTTCATCTGTTGTGTGCAGGTTGCCTGCTGCCCTCCCTTTCAGAAGGGTTTGTTTACCAGCCCTGGGATGTTTGTATAGAGTCCCAGTCCTGCAAGCTGCTCAGAGTAGATGGACCCCTATACTCAAAACTCCAGCAAAATCTGCAAGGAACAGGCTTTGAGCCACAACATCATGGCTCAAATTAGTGTATACTAGTGTAATTAGTGTATACTAATTAGTGTATTTAGTGTATACTAACTTTAAAATTAGTGTATACTAACTTTAAAGGCTGGGAAAACATTTTCTCTCTTGCAGTCATAGATGAAGGTGTCAGCTCTGCATTTCATACAAAACTTCGTCCACCTGATTGCTTGTGAGGACTTTGTCAAGCCAAATGAATTTTCACTGTGTTTGACTGTGAGAAGCAAGTTTACAAGTCCTGTGTAATGCTCAAATGCAAACAATCAGCAGAAGCTGCAGATGCCACTTTTAGCGGAAAAAATGTTTCCACACCAGTAAAGTAATATCAGTAAAATCTATGCTCTGAGCAGACTTCAAATTTTTGTTGCATTTATATCGCCTGCAAAAGCAGGGAGTATAATAAACTAGTGTGTAGCAGCTGTAAATTTTCTGAGGATTTATCTAACCACAAATACATCGAAATGGGGAAATAGGTCTATATTAAACTGTGCAAGATGCTGCTGGAACTCAGCCACTTCTGCAACATCCTGTAATTAATTTATTATGACAGGTCTGGCAAACTGAAACACCCAATACGCTTGCGACAGACTGTTATGATATAGCTGTTTGAAAACTCTGTAGTCACATAAAATGCAGGTATTAAAGGAAAAAGAATAAAAGGTAGCCCAGTGTTACCATTCTTTTTCTGTTATGTAGAAATTTTTCACCAGACTCACATTCACCAGCATCCTGGAGTGCACATGGCAGACTCAGTACCTCTGCCTGCACTAGCTGAGAAGGGAATTGTTGCAGAATATATTGGCTTAGATCCTACTGTTCTGGGATCAGAAGGAGAGTTAATGAAGTTCCGTGGACATGTTCGACTGAGGGACCTCTTTTCACACATTTTCTGAGTCAGCACAGGCCTAGCCATGTCTTCTGGTGATGAAGTTAATAAGAGGAGCTGAGACACTCAGTGCTGGTTTAACTTTCTTCTTGGTCAGTCCATATTTGTTTTACTGCTCATGTTTAAGACACTTGATTTCATCAGATAATAGTAAAAGAGTTCCAATGAAATTGTCTGTGAGTTGCAAAGAAAATTAGTACAGATTTCTTACAAATCAGTTTTTTAATGTTTTTAGTTCTTACAGAGGAGACTAGAACAGGTTGTCCTTGCATTCAGCTGCTTATCCTAAGTTAATTGCCTCAGTTCTCAGGTAAAATAAATACTAAATTTCATCTTTTCCTGGACGTTATCTTCAACGTTGAACATCCTGCTATTAATCCACAGCTAAACATAGCTAATTCAGCACTGCTCAGCTGTATAATTTGAAGAAAATGCTCTTTCTCCCCTTCCAAATTTTTGTTAAGTAGAATAGGCTGGTTTGCTCCTTTGCTTGCGCTGCATGTTTTAAAGTGCACAAATTAAGCCTTTGCGTGTCCATTGCTGTAGGTGAGCTGTGCAGAGTA